GCCACAGAAACGTTACTTAGGGACACAGAAACGTTACTTAGGGCAGGGACACAGGGAACAGAATTGTTACTGAGGGATACAGAATTGTTACTGAGGGACACAGAAACGTTTACTTAGGGCCACAGAAACGTTACTTAGGGCCACAGAAACGTTACTTAGGGCCACAGAAACATTACTTAGGGCCACAGAATTGTTACTTAGGGCCACAGAAACGTTACTTAGGGCCACAGAAACGTTACTTAGGGCCACAGAATTGTTACTTAGGGACACAGAATTGTTACTCAGGGACAGACACAGAATTGTTACTGAGGGACACAGAATTGTTACTGAGGGCCACAGAATTGTTACTGAGGGCCACAGAATTGTTACTTAGGGCCACAGAATTGTTACTTAGGGCCACAGAAACGTTACTTAGGGCCACAGAATCGTTACTGAGGGCCACAGAATCGTTACTTAGGGCCACAGAATCGTTACTTAGGGCCACAGAATCGTTACTTAGGGCCACAGAATCGTTACTTAGGGCCACAGAATTGTTACTTAGGGCCACAGAACAGAATTGTTACTTAGGGCCACAGAATTGTTACTTAGGGCCACCACAGAAACGTTACTTAGGGACACAGAATTGTTACTCAGGGACAGACACAGAATTGTTACTGAGGGACACAGATTTGTTACTGAGGGACACAGAGAACCGTTACTTAGGGCCACAGAAACGTTACTTAGGGACACAGAATTGTTACTCAGGGACAGACACAGAATTGTTACTCAGGGACAGACACAGAATTGTTACTACTCAGGGACAGACACAGAATTGTTACTCAGGGACAGACACAGAATTGTTACTGAGGGACAGACACAGAATTGTTACTGAGGGACACAGAATTGTTACTGAGGGACACAGAATTGTTACTGAGGGACACAGAATTGTTACTGAGGGACACAGAATTGTTACTGAGGGACACAGAATTGTTACTGAGGGACACAGAATTGTTACTCAGGGACACAGAATTGTTACTGAGGGACACAGAATTGTTACTCAGGGACACAGAATTGTTACTCAGGGACACAGAATTGTTAGACACAGAATTGTTACTCAGGGACAGACACAGAATTGTTACTGAGGGCCACAGAACTGTTACTTAGGGCCAGAGAAACGTTACTCAGGGACACAGAATTGTTACTCAGGGATAGACACAGAATTGTTACTCAGGGACAGACACAGAATTGTTACTGAGGGACACAGAATTGTTACTGTGGGACACAGAATTGTTACTGAGGGACACAGAATTGTTTACTGAGGGACACAGAATTGTTACTGAGGGCCACAGAACTGTTACTTAGGGCCACAGAAACGTTACTCAGGGACACAGAATTGTTACTCAGGGACAGACACAGAATTGTTACTCAGGGACACAGAATCGTTTAATTAAAGAGTATGTCAGACAACATGCAGAGGAGTGGCAGAGGAGGCAATGTTTTAGGAGCGAGCAGACGTGGCAGCAGAGGAAGGGGTCGAGGCAGCACTATTCGCAGCCAGAGGCCAGTGCTCCCGGTGTCATCCAGCGGTCGTGTCTCCACCGACAACCCTGCCGTCATCGATTGGTTGGTTGGCTCGGTCGTCTTCCTCTTCCCAGGTCACCTCTGACACCTACAGCCAACGGTCGGTGGGGTACGTCAGACACAACCGTTAGTTGGCATGGCCCGGGAGCAAGCCCACTGAAAAATCACGTGTCCTCTACCTGCCCCTGTCCTTTGGTGTTCCCTCACCAAAGCGAAGTATCGCATGCTGTGGGCTCAGCCCCACTGTACAGTGAGGAAGAGCTAACAGAGGGGCGGTCAGGAACGGGGGGAGACATCCGCCTCTTCAGCAGCCAGGCGAAGAAGTAGTGGCGAGGAGAGTGGCTCGGTAGCCGGTCTAGAGACAGGTCTGTCTCCTGACCCACACGCAGCCGAGGGGGGGGGCTAGTAGTGAGGTGGAGACCCTAATTGATGATGATGAGGCTGATCGCACTTGGCAGCCTCGTCGTCATCAGGCTATTGCTTCCGCATCATCAGGAGAAGAGGGTGGCAGCTTGGCAGCGAGCAAAACAGTCGGTGGGTTGCCCAGGAGGCAGCAGGGTCGCAGCAGTGTCAGTGGAGGCAAACGGCCACGGAGTACAGCACCAGCTCCACTGCAGCCTACCACCACGGCCAGTAGTGGTGCCAGTGTGCACGGAGGAAGCAGCAGTCAGCCAGTGAGGAGTATCGGGGGCAAAGTTTCCTACTCGGCGGCGGTGTGGCAATTTTTTGTCAAGCCGCCCAAGGAAGTAAACGTAGCCGTATGTCGACTATGTGGCCAGAAAGTCAAGCGTGGCCAGGGGGCCCATGTTGGGACTACAGCGTTGCGGCAGCATATGCAGCGTCGCCATTTGGTGGCCTGGGAAAACCGTGATAAAGATACGGCGGTTTCTGCCCGCCCCCCAGCCCCGCTCCATCACCCGCTCCGTTACTTGCTCCGTCAACCCCGACGTCAATCGCCCTCTATCAGCCAGTCAAGGCTCCAACACCTCTGCTGCTGAGGGGAGTTGTCGCTCGTTGGCCATCTTCCGCTCGTTCGTTCAGATGCTCCTTCTCCTGCTACTCCTCTTCACGGATTCCGTCAGCAGTCTTTCTTGGAATCCGTTTCCAAGAGACAACAGTTTGCGAGCACGCACGCACCCGACGGTGCAAAAGCTGAACGTCCTCCTGCAAGTCCAAGTTGTCCAAGTTGCTGGTGCTGCAGTCCCTCCCTTTCCAAGTGGTGGACTCAGCACCTTTCCGAGAAATGATGGCTTGTGCCGCACCGCGGTGGAGAGTGCCAAGCCGTCATTTCTTTGCCAAAAAGGCAGTGCCAGCCCTGCATTCACATGTAGAAGAGATGGTGGGCCAGTCTTTGAGCATGTCGGTCTCTGCCAAAGTGCACGGCAGCGCCGACGTGTGGAGCTGTAACTACGGTCAGGGACAGTACATGTCATTTACGGCCCACTGGGTGAACGTGGTGCCGTCACAGCCGCACCAGCAACTTGGACAGGTCACGCCGCTTTTGCCTCCACGTTTGCACGTCCTTGGTCCACAAAAGATGTCCGCCTCTACCACCTCTTCTTCCGCCGTGTCCTCAGCCGCCACCCCCGTGCCAAGTCCCATTACCCGACCGGCATATCACATGTGCAGGGCGCAACGGTGTCACGCTGTGCTGCACCTGGTATGCCTTGGCGAACGTAGTCACACAGGGGGGAGGAACTTTCTGAGTGTAATGAACAGAGAAATCGACAGATGGCTGTCTCCGCGCAAACTGAAAATCGGAACCATGTTGACCGACAACGGAAAGAACATGGTGTCTGCTCTGCGTCAAGGAAGGTTGTGCCATGCGCCATGCATGGCTCACGTGTTCAATCTGGTTGTCAAGCGGTTCCTAAAATCCACCATCCCACTGCAAGACATCCTTAAAATGTCACGTAAACTTTGCATGCATTTCAGCCATTCCTACACCGCAAAGCACACCCTCCTTGAGCTGCAGCGGCAGAACAGAACGGAATTCCACAGCATCGCCTGATCTGCGACGTTGCAACAAGGTGGAATTCAACCCTACACATGTTAGACCGCCTTTACGAACAGCGAAAGGCCATCACCGATTTCCTGATGTTACAAGCGGATAAAGGTACTCCCCTGTGTAACTTCGATGTCAGCCATTGGCAGCTCATGCGTGACACCTGCCGCTTGCTCAGGCCCTTTGAGGAGGCCACGCTATTCGTGAGTCGGCAGGACTATGGGATGAACGACGTCATTCCTCTGTTGCACGTCCTGGAACAAATGCTGTTAACAATGGCTGGTCAGGGTGCGGTAGACGTGGCGCACAGATCTCAACGCCACATGACCCCTGTGGGGGGGCAGGACAGGAAGAAGAGGAGGAGGACATTAGAGGAGGACATTTGTGCTCAGGAATTATTGAGTGAAATGGGTGGTTTTTCCACTCAGCGGACAGGAGTGGAGGAGCAGGAGCATCTGGTAGAGGAGGAGGAGGAGGAGACAGAGGGACCCAGACGCACCGTGGCAGTATGCTGTGGAGATGGAGGCAGGGAGTCCCTCGCATTCCTTGGCACAAATGGCCCATAGCATGCTCGGTTGCTTGCGTAGCGACAGCCGAATAATAACCATCAGACAGAGGGATGACTTTTGGCTGTCCACCTTGTTGGACCCTCGCTACCGTTCAAAAATGGTGGCCTTTTTCACACCTGCTGAGAGGGAGGCCAAAATAACGTACTATAAAAACCACCTATGTAGTCAGTTGGTCTCTGCCTTTGTGCGCCATCGTCCATCCTCAGACACTGTGGGCCCTGTGCGCTCGCGTTCCGCTGCATGGCAGCAGGGGAGGGGTGGGTGGGTGGTAGGAGCAGTGGCAGCTCCACCAGCAGCGGCTGCCTCAGTCTGCAGTCGATGATGAGTAGCTTTCTTCACCAGCGCAGTGAGGAAACTACTAACCAGCAGCAGCAGCAGCAGCATCAGGTGGACCTGGAGCAGGACCTCAAACAACAGGCTTGGGCCTACTTGGACAGCACCCTGCCAACCGAGGTAGACAATCCCCTTGACTACTGGGCAACGAAAACTTGACCTTTGGCCCCAACTAGCTGAATTTGCCCTTGAAAGGCTGTCATGCCCGGCCAGTAGCGTGGCATTGGAGCGCGTGTTTAGTGCGGCAGGAGGTATTGTAACTCCGCGGAGGACACGACTGTCCACCCAAAGTGTGGAGAGACTCACGTTTGTGAAAATGAATCAGGCGTGGATTAGTCTGGATTTCAAACCACCAGTTCCTGACACAACTGACTAAATCCGCCATGAATCATGCCCCCTGCCATGTGCCACTTTCAGGTCTCTCTCACACTGCTGGTGTGTTCCATTTTTTGTCATAGGGTGCTGGCAGATTACGGGCCTCCCATAGCTGCTGCCAGGCCCCTAATCTGCCATGGGCCCCCTGTACCGCCTCCTCATGCTGCTGCCAAGTCCAGAGTCTCTCATGGGTCCCTGTACGGCGTCCCATTGCTGCTGTCTCCATCGCCACACTCTCTGCCATGTGCCACTTTCAGGTCTCCTCACACTGCTGGTGTGTTCAATTTTTTGTCATAGGGTGCTGGCAGATTACGGGCCTCCCATAGCTGCTGCCAGGCCCCTAATCTGCCATGGGCCCCTATACCGCCTCCTCATGCTGCTGCCAGGTCCAGTGTCTCAGTGTCTCATGCCATGTGCCACTTTCAGGTCTCCTCACACTGCTGGTGTGTTCCATTTTTTGTCATAGGGTGCTGGCAGATTACGGGCCTCCCATAGCTGCTCAGGCCCCTAATCTGCCATGGGCCCCTATACCGCCTCCTCATGCTGCTGCCAGGTCCAGAGTGTCTCATGGGTCCCTGTACGTCCTCCCATTGTTGCTGTCTCCATCGCCACACTCTGCCATGTGCCACTTTCAGGTCTCTCCTCACACTGCTGGTGTGTTCAATTTTTTGTCATAGGGTGCTGGCAGATTACGGGCCTCCCATAGCTGCTGCCAGGCCCCTAATCTGCCATGGGCCCCTATACCGCCTCCTCATGCTGCTGCCAGGTCCAGAGTCTCTCATGGGTCCCTGTACGGCCTCCCATTGCTGCTGTCTCCATCGCCACACTCTGCCATGCCACTTTCAGGTCTCCTCACACACACTGCTGGTGTGTTCAATTTTTTGTCATAGGGTGCTGGCAGATTACGGGCCTCCCATAGCTGCTGCCAGGCCCCTAATCTGCCATGGGCCCCTGTACCGCCTCCTCATGCTGCTGCCAGGTCCACAGTGTCTCTGCCATGTGCCACTTTCAGGTCTCCTCACACTGCTGGTGTGTTCCATTTTTTGTCATAGGGTGCTGGCAGATTACGGGCCTGCTATAGCTGCTGCCAGGCCCCTAATCTGCCATGGGCCCCTATACCGCCTCCTCATGCTGCTGCCAAGTCCAGAGTCTCTCATGGGTCCCTGTACAGCGTCCCATTGCTGCTGTCTCCATCGCCACACTCTGCCATGTGCCACTTTCAGGTCTCCTCACACTGCTGGTGTGTTCAATTTTTTGTCATAGGGTGCTGGCAGATTACGGGCCTCCCATAGCTGCTGCCAGGCCCCATAATCTGCCATGGGCCCCTGTACCGCCTCCTCATGCTGCTGCCAGGTCCACAGTGTCTCATGCCATGTGCCACTTTCAGGTCTCCTCACACTGCTGGGTGTGTTCCATTTTTTGTCATAGGGTGCTGGCAGATTACGGGCCTCCCATAGCTGCTGCCAGGCCCCTAATCTGCCATGGGCCCCTATACCGCCTCCTCATGCTGCTGCCAGGTCCAGAGTCTCTCATGGGTCCCTGTACGGCCTCCCATTGCTGCTGTCTCCATCGCCACACTCTGCCATGTGCCACTTTCAGATCTCCTCACACTGCTGGTGTGTTACATTTTTTGTCATAGGGTGCTGGCAGATTACGGGCCTCCCATTGCTGCTGCCAGGCCCGTAATCTGCCATGGGCCCCCGTACCGACTCCTCATGCTGTGACGTTGCAACAAAGTGGAATTCAACCCTACATATGTTAGACCGCCTTTACGAACAGCGAAAGGCCATCACAGATTTCCTGATGTTAAAAGCGGATAAAGGTACTCCCTGTGTAACTTAGATGTCAGCCATTGGCAGCTCATGCGTGACACCTGCGCTTGCTCAGGCCCTTTGAGGAGGCCACGCTATTCGTGAGTCGGCAGGACTATGGGATGAACGACGTCATTCCTCTTTTGCACGTCCTGGAACAAATGCTGTTAACAATGGCTGGTCAGGGTGCGGTAGACGTGGCGCACAGATCTCAACGCCACATGACCCCTGTGGGGGCAGGACAGGAAGAAGAGGAGGAGGTAGAGGAGGACATTGGTGCTCAGGAATTATTGAGTGAAATGGGTGGTTTTTCCACTCAGCGGACAGGAGTGAAGGAGCAGGAGCATCTGGTAGAGGAGGAGGAGGAGGAGACAGAGGACCCAGACGCACCGTGGCAGTATGCTGTGGAGATGGAGGCAGGGAGTCCCTCGCATTCCTTGGCACAAATGGCCCATAGCATGCTCGCTTGCTTGCGTAGCGACAGCCGAATAATAACCATCAGACAGAGGGATGACTTTTGGCTGTCCACCTTGTTGGACCCTCGCTACCGTTCAAAAATGGTGGCCTTTTTCACACCTGCTGAGAGGGAGGCCAAAATAACGTACTATAAAAACCACCTATAGTAGTCAGCTGGTCTCTGCCTTTCTGCGCCAACGTCCATCCTCAGACACTGTGGGCCCTGTGCGCTCGCGTTCCACTGCCATGGCAGCAGGGGAGGGGTGGGGTGGTAGGAGCAGTGGCAGCTCCACCAGCAGCGGCTGCCTCAGTCTGCAGTCGATGATGAGTAGCTTTCTTCACCAGCGCAGTGAGGAAACTACTAACCAGCCGCAGCAGCAGCAGCATCAGGTGGACCTGGAGCAGGACCTCAAACAACAGGCTTAGGCCTACTTGGACAGCACCCTGCCAACCGAGGTAGACAATCCCCTTGACTACTGGGCAACGAAACTTGACCTTTGGCCCCAACTAGCTGAATTTGCCCTTGAAAGGCTGTCATGCCCGGCCAGTAGCGTGGCATCGGAGCGCGTGTTTAGTGCGGCAGGAGGTATTGTAACTCCGCGGAGGACACGACTGTCCACCCAAAGTGTGGAGAGACTCACGTTTGTGAAAAATGATTCAGGCGTGGATTAGTCTGGATTTCAAACCACCAGTTCCTGACACAACTGACTAAATCCGCCATGAATCATGCCCCAAACATGTGCCACTTTCAGGTCTCCTCACACTGCTGGTGTGTTCCATTTTTTGTCATAGGGTGCTGGCAGATTACGGGCCTCCCATAGCTGCTGCCAGGCCCCTAATCTGCCATGGGCCCCTATACCGCCTCCTCATGCTGCTGCCAAGTCCAGAGTCTCTCATGGGTCCCTGTACGGCCTCCCATTGCTGCTGTCTCCATCGCCACACTCTGCCATGTGCCACTTTCAGGTCTCCTCACACTGCTGGTGTGTTCCATTTTTTGTCATAGGGTGCTGGCAGATTACGGGCCTCCCATAGCTGCTGCCAGGCCCCTAATCTGCCATGGGCCCCTATACCGCCTACTCATGCTGCTGCCAGGTCCAGAGTCTCTCATGGGTCCCTGTACGGCCTCCCATTGCTGCTGTCTCCATCGCCACACTCTGCCATGTGCCACTTTCAGGTCTCCTCACGCTGCTGGTGTGTTCCATTTTTTGTCATAGGGTGCTGGCAGATTACGGGCCTCCCATAGCTGCTGCCAGGCCCCTAATCTGCCATGGGCCCCCGTACCGACTCCTCATGCTGCTGCCAGGCCCGTAATCTGTCATGGGCCCCTGTTGTTGCTTGTTGGCATATTCCGCTCGTTCAGATGCTCCTTCTCCTGCTACTCCTCTTCACGGATTCCGTCAGCAGTCTTTATTGGAATCCGTTTCCAAGAGACAACAGTTTGCGAGCACGCACCCGACGGTGCAGAAGCTGAACGTCCTCCTGTCCAAGTTGCTGCTGCCAGGCTCATAATCTGTCATGCGCCCCTGTACCGCGCCTCCTCATGCTGCTGCCAGGTCCAGAGTGTGTCATGGGCCCCCGTACCGACTCCTCATGCTGCTGCCAGGCCCGTAATCTGTCATGGGCCCCTGTACCGCCTCCTCATGCTGCTGCCAGGTCCAGAGTGTGTCATGGGTCCCTGTACGGCCTCCCATTGCTGCTGTCTGCATCGCCACACTCTGCCATGTGCCACTTTCAGGTTTCCTCACACTGCTGGTGGTTTCCATTTTTGTCATAGGGTGCTGTATGGCCTCCCATTGCTGCTGCCTCCACCGCCACACTGTGGCTCCACACTCTGGTTTTGGCCCCGTGACTGCCCAAATGAGTGAAGTGTGCGGTGATTCTAAGATCGACGGCACTCATCTGCATGTCATACTGACTGTCAGTATTATTTCTCTTCCCCAGCAGACTCCAAGGGCATTTAAATTAAAGGTACAGTGTTCTGCACTAATATAAAGGCTCTCTGAAGCCTAGAAACACCCTTTTATAAGTTAAATTCGCAGCGAATATATTCGACTCGAATCGAAATTTTTCCACGAATTCGCCGAATCAGTCGAATCGAATTTTTGAATACTTCGCTCATCTCTAGTCACCATCCCTAATCAGAGATTACCATTAATTTTATATTTATACATCTTTGGGGTGAGTTTCAGCAGGTGCTCCATGTAGGCACCCTTATAAGCAATCCCGATACCTGGCAGCTTTTAACTAGCATTATTGGTGTATATAGGGGATTTCGCTACACATTTGTACGATTGCCATCATTTTATATATGGTATGTATTATATATATATATATATATATATATATATATATATATATATATATATATATATGCGAATGATGTCATAACATTTGCATATGACCCATCTCGGGAATACATCTGGGGGTCTATAAACATTACCCTGGTGTTTAACAGTGAGGATATCTCACTCAATATGATTTTCTTCCCTTCCCTTGGTTGTCTCGATTGTTGGTGGTGACATAGTCCCCCTTTTGTTGCACTCCAGTAAAATGGCGCCCGCACATGCGAGATTGAGACGGTGGATTTGGCGCATTAGCGCACTTCAGTTCCCCGCATATGACTATTTCGCATGTGCGAACTTCAACAAAATGGCGCATTCCTAGAGACATTTGTCTACCACAAAATGGCGCACGATCATTACATGTGCGCGAATTTTCGTATATAAATGCATTGTTACACGTCCTGTGCCCAGAGCATACCCGCTATGAATAAGTGCGGTTGCACGAAACGCGTCAGGAGGGAACTGCGGCACAGTGACGTTTTTACTGCCGCCGGCACCAGTGGGGTCCCGGCGGCCAACTTACTTTCTTGTCTGGTCAGTATTATGTTTTTTATACCCTTTTTGCTGGATGGAATAAACACACGCATGTTCAAACGGTATCACGCTATTCTGGCCTCCTTTTTTCTCTGGGGCTCTTGGGTGAGCTTCCAATTACCTACAGAGTCAAGAGCAATAGGAGACAGAGCCATGCGTGACAGCTGAGGGCCCACAATGCAGAACTAGACCAGACCTTGCTTCAGATGAGTCCTGGAGTCATACCTTAAGAGGGGTTATCTCTTACATGCGCATATTGATTGTGCATCTGGTGAGTGCACAATCCTATATTAATTTTGGATATTGCTATATATCGTTTTCTGGTCATCACCATATACCAACAGGGATCCAACTGATCCCCCACTTCACTCCACCTATTGAGGAGATTGTGAACTGAGCACCTATACTATATTGAGTCACTCCATTAGTGACAGGATTAGAACTTTTATTTACCTGCGTTTTTGCAGTTATACACTTTGTTATGTAATTTTATGTGTCTTATTTATCTTTATAAGCGCTGCACTCTTAT